TTACTACTGCTTTTCCGATGGTTTGCTTTCTGGGAATCCAGGACCCTTTCAGAGATTTGACATGAATCCAGTGACTTGTCTTTTATATTTTATCACTTTTTCTTTTTTTTCATGTCTCTTACTCTTTGTCTTAATGCAACAGCTTTATTTTACTTCATACAGCTTTCACATATTTTTGTAGTTAAGCCTTTGTATAGAAAATATAGTATTACACTTTTTTGTTACTATGACTATTGCTGATATTCTGGTATGCTTCTTATTGTGGAGGGGGGTAGGGAAATTTGGGGGATTTGGTTTGAATCGTTCCAGGCCTGAATTTCACTGCATATTCAAACTTTCTAGAGTACATATTTTTATGTAAAATGAGCAATATTATTACGTAAAATATGTTACGTAAAAGCAATATTATTTATTTTATGGGTAATGTTCAACCTGTTTGTGAATTGCACAGTAATGTTATTCTTAATGCCGCTGGTGCTGGAATCATTTTACTTGGCCATTTTAAGCCGTTTGCTGCATACAGCACGCATATTTGAGTGTTGTAACCACTATGCGAGATTTGGTTAAGCACTGTTCATGCTTGGTATTAATTAAATTGTGAATGCTCAGTCACTCATATGCAGCAGTGCCTTTGAAGATCTACATTAGTATTTATATTTTTATAGTACAAACTGTACCGGGCTGTGCAACATATTTTAGATGGCATGAATGTACAAAAAGGAGCATGTTTTATTGAGTGTACCTTGTGGGGAAGTGTGCTTTTGAGCACTGTTGTCAGTGACAGATTGAGTGCTGTTCCTTTGGGCCTTTTTTTAGTGTGTGAATGTAAAATAAAATTATGTACACTCTGTCAGCAGTTTTCATTTATTTGTAAATTATGACTGAGGGGGAAGAAATGTGTACTCTGAAGAACTTCAGGTAATAAATTAGCATCTTTTCAGAGGAACCTAGTAGGTATGAAATGTTCTGGCTAATGTATGCTGGGGAATAACGCTGTATGGCTTGTTCAATGTAGAAATAGATTTGCATGTAATATCAGCAGGGCTGGTCTTGCACATTCAAGTGCCCTTTTCAAACTATGGTCATCACTCTGTCCCTCCTGTTTACATACACAAATCTACTACACATATACGGCATGATGTCATTGGTCAGCATGCCAGTAATGACCCAAAATGAATGTTGTCACTGAAGAACTGCAGTTCAAAAACTAAAAATGCAGCATATAGCATCATGTTGGGCACACAGTTGAAATTTGATTTGGCTCAAAATATTTCAAAAAACCTTCATTTCCCAAATTTAACTTTTTGTGGCATTACTTGGCAGTTGGGAAATATGTTTTCATATGCATCCACAAATATGACCCAAAATGTGATGAGGTCACATCAAACTGTCGCACCAAAGTTGCAATCCGGGTGTGTAATTAAAGGGCCCTGCAGCATATGTTTCCGTGTTGCCATTGCATGACTGTATTAATGTAATTAATTGCCTTGAAAACCAACCGCTCCTAAATGTTTTAGAATTTGTCATGTACAAGTGGAGTTGCATGGGTTTGTCGTATGCTTTAAGCATTTTCCTTTTGCACCAGCGAAAGCACTGAAAGCTACAGAGAGGGGGAATGACAAGAAGGCAAGAAGCTACGAAATTTCGTCTCGTGTCATGGTGGTGGGTGTTTTTTATTTTTTTGAACCCTTGGCTCACTTTCAATGTGATTGCGAGCATGTGCACTAAAAGACTGCAGTGTGCATGTCGTGGCGTCCTATTGCGGCTGCGGTAACTATGGAGCTCACGATGCTCAGAATGGCCAATAACTGTGAACTTCATGCTTATGGCAGAATCATTTTGGTTTATGGCAAAATTTGCTGAGAAAAGAGGGAGTGAGCAATTTTTAGCTGACATAGAAAATTAATTGCAAATTCTAGGCCGTGTGCTGTGCTATATTATTTGGCGCGCATATTGGGCTTCAATTACCAATAGGCCGCATTTTCTGACCATACTGAAGAATTGTTGTTGGGCGCTTTTAAACCTTGGAGTTCTAAATGTTCAACTGCAAAAAGTGCTGCTGTGGTTACGTAGTGAAAAACGTTCTGAATATCGGCATAGAGAAGGAAGGTAGATATGGGACAGGGCACGAGGCTTCTGTATGTCTTTGTTCTTTTTTTTTCCTCAGTGCTTTTCAGTTAGTGGCCATGTAACGGTACCAACCCAGCCAACTTGCTCCACTTGTTTGTGTAACTGTATTGAGCCATGCTGACTAACAGGAGGAGTTTTAGCAGAATTTGTATCGGTTCACCAAGGTCAGATACTATACTCAATTAGTGACTTTGCATGAGAGTGGTCTTAAGTTTCTCTCTCCCTCCCTCCCTCCCTCTCTCTCTCTCTCTCTCTCTCTCTATATATATATATATATATATATATATATATATATATAAAGGGAAATAAGTGTATACCTAAGGGCTCATTTTTCCGTTTTTTGACACAATATTAATGAGATCTAACAGATAATAATGCCAAGGAATGCATTGAGGAAGTTAGAACCAATGTAACGTAAATAAGAAGCAAGAAAAGTGGGTGAAAGAATAACTTGCCATGAGCAGGAATCGAACCCCTACGACCTTCGAATAACGAGCATCAAACGCATTATTTGAAGTTCGTAGGTTAACCGGCGCTGTATATATATATATATATATATATATATATACAGCGCCGGTTAACCTACGAACTTCAAATACCTATATATATATATATATATATATATATATATATATATATATATATATATATATATATATATATATATATATATATATATATATATATATATATATATATATATATGGGATATGGCACAACGGGAGCGTTGTCAACAAGGATAAATATATTATTTCCCAACAGTTTTGTTGGGAAATATATATATATATATATATATATATATATATATATATATATATATATATATATATATATATATGTGTGTGTGTGTGTGTGTGTGTGTGTGTGTAATATTATATATTGAACGAATATGTGAAAAACGTAAGTACGTGGACCTTTGTGAAATGGACGCCCAATATATTCTTCCCAAAGTGTTCTCCTACATGTGCGCATTTTGAAATCGCCGCGTTAACAGCAGAGAATCGGTTCATGAATTGTAAGCGCGAACAGATGAGGCCGTCGAAGAGAACTGACACGGACAAGCATTCTGTCCGTGTCAGCTCTCTTCTACGTCCTTGTCTGTTAGCGCTTACTCACGGATGCAAACCAACTAGCCCACCAATGTGCTTTAGCAACAGTTTGTGTTTTGGCCATAGTCTGGAAGGCTTTTCGTGGCATTTCTCAGGCAGTTTGTGCTCGATGTTGCTTCTGCTAAAGAGAATACTCAGTAATGTTAATGTGTGACTGATGCTCTTACGGTATCAATTTTCGTGACCGTGGCTAAATCATTCGCTGCTGCTGGAGGCAGTATACGCGGCGCCACCGATACGGCTAATGTGCAGAGGGCATAACCTACTGTATTTTACTGACCTGCCCAGCAAGCGAAGCGCCAGCACGCCCTTTCTGGTATTGGCGCCTGCCGCTATTCGCCCTGTGGCGCTGCAACTTGCCTCATTCGCACCGCTTACTGGCGGCCAAATTATGAATCGCAACGCTTTTTTTTTTTTTTTTGTCGTCTGCTTGCGCGACGCTGGGAGAAAAGCAGCAATGTTCCCGCGAGCATACACTCTGGACGGTTATAATGAATAAAAGCCTCTTTTTGAATAAACTTAAAAGTATAATGACGATCTTTTGCTACCGTCTGCTCGTGCCGAGCTGCGACAGAAGCCTGCAGGTAGGTACAGTTTGTACACCAGTGAAGCGAGGTTTCTTAGTGCAAATTAACCATCACGATGGTGGTGTGATGCGTGCATTTCTGCGAATCAAGGCAAGGGAAGATTCCTGATGTGACTTTTCATGAGTTTCCAGTGACCGAGGTCCGTGAAAAATGGATCAAGGTGATTTCTGTGTTGTAAAAGATTACGTGTCTCTAAAGGAGTGAGTTGCTGGGCTGGTTGGTGGTACATGACAGACTGAAACGTATATTAGTGCCAAAAAATAAACCGACAACCTCAAGAAAGTAAACGACGACGCGCTAAACTAGCAACTGTTTATTAGCAAAAAAAAAAAAACAGGAAAGATGACAAGAGTGCACATATGGAAACCATGTCACTACATGTGTTTATGCAACTGTAGGTTTTGAAACACACCCATTGTGTGAAGAATTAGTGTTGAATAAGGGATTTTAAGTGCTGTTTCGTTTCAAAACAGTTGCAGAGTGTCTTTCATTGATTATTTATGTACATGCGATCTACATTTGCCATTTGAGACGAAGGCATTTATGCGCAAAATTATCTGTACTGGGTTGTTGTCTATGCGCGCCGGATGCCGCGAACACTGTCAAATGTCATAGTCCTTGCCCTTCCTTTCCCAGACAATAAATACAAGCCAGCTGAGTGTACTCCAACGGCAACAAGTCTACCATTCTATACACATATAGCTGGTTACATGAGTTAAATAAGCATTTGGTGACCAGCGCTTTTTACAACCTGTCTCCTTCGTCATTATTTCTTGCTTTGCACGCTGATACATGTATTTTTACCTGATTTGCGATTCTATTTGAAAAATAATGGACTCAAATGTCAACTAAAATGCAAAAGAAGATTCTAAAAGTCACATGAAATAAAATGATTCAAGATAGTTGCCACATTTACTCAATGCGTGATAAAACTCTTCACGAACCAGCGGTAACCCATGCATTTCCATGCATCCACCGGCACTCAGCTGGTGTAACTCGAGCGCCCCCTAGGCAGCGAAGTTCGGTATCCGAGCCGGCGCAGGCAGCTCCGTAGACCGCCGCCAGCTGAGCAGGTCAGGAGTACAGTAGGTCGTGGCTGAGGGAAAGCGTGGAGCACCAATTGTAGGGAAGTAAAAACAAAACTCCGGCAGGTGTCGCGAAGGTCGAAAATGTCAGCTGCTCTGGGTGTTGTGAAGGTGTGCGCTTGGTTAGTGAAGTAAGGGTGGGAGTTTCGGCACTGCAGTGGACTTCCTTCTTAAAGCCGTTGTATAGGTGGCTTTAAAGATTTTACAATCACGATTATACGGATCCATAACTCTTGCATAATCACTCTATAGCGGACCATCGCAGTGTGCAGCTGGTACCGGAGGCAGATTGCAGCACTCGGTACGTATATTGTAAATATTTCCTTGTCTACCGAAAGTGTGTGTTCGTGCTTTAAAAAAAAAAAAAAAGTCACTTAACTCGTGTGATCAAACTGGTTTTTGTTCATCGCGTTCTTGTATAATAAATGCTCAGACGGTGTTGCAAAATGGGCTTCTCGTTGCTGTGCAAACATCGTAGTTTTCACTTTATACCCGACCTTCCAGTGCTTGTCCGTGTTAGAATGATCAGTGTTTTGAATGATAGGTTCTTATGTTGGTTAGTGTTATAATGTTGATTTCTGCCGTATGATGTCTCCCAAGCATTAATCTGGTGTCGTACGGTGACTGCTGATTGCGATCAAGTCCGATCAGCCTTCAAATATTTCTAAACTGTAATTGGCTCCCTTCTGCAGCGTGCGTGAGGGATCGTAAAATTTGATCGGGATCAGCCCCGATCGCGATCAACAGTGAGCGTGTGACACCGGTATTCTTAGCGCGCTAACCGTCTGCGAACTGCGTTCAGGGTCTTTAGCGCTGGTCGACTGTTGTTTCGTTTTTGTAACTTTGCATTTATCTTCTCGCTGACGTTGTGCTTGTGGCTTGCATTTCCCTTGGTTCGTGTTTTTTGAGCTTGCACACTTGATCGTAACTTACCTTCAAGTCTGGCAAAGTGTGTAGGCAGTACATCATATTTATACTTTTGCAATCGTATGCGTTCGAAACATTTTTTTTTTTTTGGCTTCAGAATGCCATGTTTGGGGCATTGGGACGTTTTCAATGGCGTTCGAGACCTATTTGGGTAAAGTTTCTCGATCGTCGTTGGCTCCTTTCGACAGCTTGCGCGAATGATCCAATTGCGATCGACAAGTACGGTACCGATCCGGCGTTATTCTAGCCACCATACCGGCGTTATTCTAGCCACCATACCGGCGTCATCGCAAGTGTACCGCGCGCACGACCCCAAAGTGATGACAGTTTGCTTATTCTCAGCATACCTACTGCTGACCCGAAAAGAACCAATTGAACATGAATTGGCACTCTTTAACTAACACCAATCATGGTAGCGCTGGCTAACGAATAAATTACAGATGCAATGCCAGTACTGCCATCTTATTTATCTAGTGTAATGGCGTTTTCTGTTTAACAATAAAGCAACTGTTTCATTATTTTGTAAGCTGAAGAGTCCATACTTAGTGATGGAGTAAGCAAGATGACAACGCTGTGGCCCTGTATAAGTGTACGCTATCCAACTTATGTACCAACAAGCCCAAGCTGTACATTGCGAGTTACATTATTGTTATTATTATTATTTACCATCAATACGGGTTGAAGGAGTATGTATAAATAAAAATAAATACTTGCCATAACTCTCGTGCATATTGATAGTAGGTAATAACAGGGAATACCATAATGCATATGCTCATGATAGACATCTTTTCTTAATTATAAATAATTGTGGAATACACTTTTAGGCAGCTTATTCGTCTTTGTACATGTTATATACCATTGCACTGCAAATATAGAATACCTGCAATGCTTGCTAGACTTCAGGAGCAGGTAAGCTAAGAATAAAAAGGGATAACACTTGGAAATGTAACAGACTTGACTGGTAAAATGACTGGACTACAACAACCTCAATTTATTTCTATGAAAAATTATTGTCAGAGCATTGTGTTAGCAAGCTTTTGCTGTCACATGGGGACCACTAACATAGATGCATAGATGTGTATGTGAAATATTCGTAAGGAAAGCACAATGTCAATTTATTTGCTAATCATCTCATAGCCACAAATTTGTTGTGTAGCCAGCGTTCAGACGGTCTCCCATCTCAGGTTGTCATCATAGAACTAAGCAGCTTGGTATATAACTTTAAATAGAAAGGCCAAATTATGCAAGGCAGCATTTTAGATGAACAGTAGTAGTTTAAATATTTATCATATTTGTCTAATTAGGAATAGTTGTTGTACTCATTGTGATCTAACTGTGCACAGTGAAGCAAGAATATTTAAGTTTCCTTCTAAGATCTTGGAAGCAGTTGTATATAATGTAGTCCCTTTAATAGTAAATGCTTAGAGAAAGCGCTACTGATAAATCATTGTGTTTCAATCATTTTGTGCAATTTTACAGCTCTTTGACATTGTGGTTTCATTTGTATATATGATTCAGTTTGGTCTTCTACCAGGTTTGCTACATGCTGAATAACTTCTCCCGAGTGCTGTTATCAGATTTTGTGTGCACCTGTGAACTGCTCACACTAGTGGCTTGTCTTAGTCATAATTCAAGTAGGTTTTTTTTTTCTTGGTAAAGAGCATGCCAAAGTATTGCCCTTGCCCTTATGTCTATGTAGCGTATTACGTGTTAGTTGCTTCGTCTCATCTTGGTTAAATTTTTAAAGGTTTCTTTTGAATGGCTTTATCTATTGTTTGCTTTTTTTTACTCCAAGATGCTTTTTTATTTTACCCAGTAGGGATGAACAAGAATGCGAAGTATTTTTAGATGATAGTACTTGTGTATGTCAAAAAAAAAAGTTTTGAGACACGTCATCTTAAAAACAATTAACCTCTTTGGAAATAAGAGGATGAAACACCAGCTATTTTATGACTCAAGTGTAATGTTATTAACAATTGATAGTACATGTATATGGGTGCTGTCGTCATATACCTCAGAACTTCATCTCTGCAGCTTTTTGACGCTTTCTGACACTCAGCCATCTGATAATAAGATAACATGGCACTGCCATTGACAAGTTGTTGTCGTGACCTTTGTCATCGTTCTGCACTAGAGAGGTTGTCACGGGCATAAGAGCTCTTGGTTCATGTGTCCTCACACGTTCCACTTTGTTGGATTTGGAAGGGATCTTGCAGCCCTTTGCTTTTTTCTGCTTTACCTCAATCGTTGATTTGATACTTCTCATATTTTAAAGCATATATTTCAATGCTTATTACTCTATGGTAGTGAGTATGAATGTAAGTAGTTTGCTTTTATATTCTCTTATGTCCTTTTCATGACATTTGTTATTTGGCATATGCTTTAAAGGTGTGTAGTTTAAATCAAGAACTTATTGGGAAATGAGAGATAAATCATAAACCTAGAAAATGTTTACTGCAAATGTAAGTAATTTCTATTCTCAAGTAGTCCAAGAAAAGAAAAACAGCAGTGCTGCTATTATATTGGCTATTATAAATGTTATGCTATAGATTTAATCTACATCTTTTATAAAGGGAACAAGAAATATTTGTTGGCCTATATTTTAATCATTATACTCGCAGACATTGTGCAGGCTACCTGTTGCTTTCAGAGAAAGTTATGTCACTTTTTAGAACAACATACTATTTATCAAGTTTCTATGTAAGTTTAGCAGACCAAAGTGTTTTTTCTTCACTTCATTACTTTTCTTTGCACAAAGAGCAACATTAAGGTAACGCTAGTGTAAGCTTCATGTTTTAATGGCTGTTTCAGGTTGAATACTTAGTCAAAAGAGTTTTGCAAAAGCTCGTCTGGTCAGGTAGCATTTTGCACATAACGAAAATTATAGTCACTGACCAAGTCAAAACCTTTTTCTTCATTGACTTGGTCAGTGACCGTAATTTTGCTTTCTAGCGTGCAAATCTTGCCTATATGTTTCAATTACACTAAGTGTCTGAAGAAGTGATGCATTTGTTTTTGAAATGATAGGAAATTTTGAGGGTTGAAATGGCCGGTGTTGGAAATACTTTTTGAGGTGAATTGAATGCTATGTCCCTAAAAGGCAAATGGGCACGTATAATTATGGACATGAGGATGTTCACTGCACTTGTTGGATCAGGCATAGTATTTCTGCAATCACTGTGTATTTTGGGCCAGGAATAAAATATTCCTGACGTTCGTCAGCTTCCTGACTAACGTCAGGAAGCTGTCGCGAAGGCCTGACTCCAGAAAGTCTGCCTGCTTTAAACACTCTGCTATTTCTTTCTTGGAAATTTGCCCTCTGTTCTTCAATATTGTATTCTGCTGTGTTATCATACATGGTAGTTTGTCGTTCACCCCAAAACTTAAGTTTGTTGGTTCATAAAATGCTTGCAGTCTACTTGAAGCTGTAACAGTCTCTGTTTAAGGCTAACCAAGTGACACTTCACTCGTGCCGTTGCCCTGCATCCTCCTATTTTTTTGTTTTTTATTTGCGTTGTATGACTGTCGTTAACATCCTTCTCTTAATTTGTTGTACTTTAAGCACAAATTAATCAATTTTATATTTGTTGTTTTGCCATTTGGGATATGTGTCAGCTCTTCTTCGGTGTTAGATGCAGAGATCAAGATCTTGCCATCTGTATCACATGTAATAAAGTAACGGTGCTTATTTTTGGTATTATGAAACTGACTGACAGTTTGCCCAAGGGAAGCACTGGGGACATCATTCGTGGCTTCTTAACCGTGTTGTAATAATTTTCACTTAAATTGAATGAAAATCAAAATGAACAAAAAAATTGCCCTTTTCGTTGGTGGGATTCGAACTCATAATCTTTGAATTCAAATGAAATGCAGTTTGTTTCATCTGAATGTTGCAAGGTGTTATTGATTTGAGCTTGCATCCTCAGAACAGGGCTGAAATGATACTCCACCTACTGTTATAGCAGACAGGCTTGATCCTAATGGGATTGATTACTTTCCTTATGCAGCCAGGATGCGGTAGAAGGAACACAGACGGGGGCAGCATTATGGGCCAGGCACACCCAACAGGGCACACAAGGCGACGGCGTCTGTCGTCATTATGCAGGCCTTTCACCCCACATAGCCGTAACTTGAGTGCCACTTTCCACGTACTTGACACGGAGCTGCGCTGGGAACTCTTGAACATCAACACTGCCACAGAAGAAGAGTTGATGACTCTGCCGGGTGTCACGAGATGCATTGCACGCAACATCGTTGACTACCGTCAAGCCATCGGGGGATTTAAAAAGGTTGAAGATCTAGCTCTGGTCTCTGGTGTTGGAGCCTCACGTCTCCAAGTATGACTTTTTTTTTCACTTATTTTATCACTTTTTATTGACAATCTTTACTGTGTAGGGTAGATGAAAGTTGCTTTGTTGCTGAGCATCAGTGCCCAGGTGTCACCACTTTGTTTTTCACTGCTTAGGTCTAATGTACTATAAGCCTTGGATTCTGTGTGAATGTGGATCATCTATATGCCCTTAAAGCACTTCAGTGACATTGAAAAAAAAAAAAAAAGGCCAGGCCTGTACGGAAAGCATAGCACAGTCACAGTGAAAGCTAGAAGAGCGGCCTTTCAGAGCCTTGTCTGAACACTCATTGGCTAACTGCTGCAAACACACTTGTTGGGTACCCATTATGGCATTAATAATCATAATTTCTGGGTAGTAGGCGGGCATTCGCAATGCTATCCGTCGTGATTCTTCCAAGAAGCGTGGCATCTGCAAGGAATTTTATGCCAATTGTTCATGCAGTGGCTCACGACGAAGAGGAATTATGCCTGAAGTGGGTATGTGCCACAGTTAATAGGTGATCAAGATTAAGCTTTGTAATGGGTTGAAGCATTGAACAGCCCACTGGTTACACTCTTCACAATGTGTGACGCCTGGTTGTTTCTTTGCTGTTCTAAAACAGTTTATTACTCGTATCAACGAGATTCCTTTCTCGAGATCAAGCCTCCTTTAGGCAACTTTGCAAAGAATTCCCGAGCACCGGCGTTGGCTCAGTGGCAGAATACTGGGCTGGCATGCAGCACACCCAGGTTCGAGCCCCACTGTGTCCTTGGTGTTTTTTATTTACTGAGTTTTTTTTTTTCTTTCGATACTGGTTACGGACACCAATGGCGGCAGACAACTACGATGTCGCGCGTGACCCATGTTCTGATCTCATAACAGCTCTCGCTGTAAAATATTATGGCAGCTTCAAACTAGCAGTGTCAAGCCTGAAGGAAGAGTGCAGCTTTATTTTTTTTCTTCTCTCTCTCTCTTACTCGGCTACTGAGCCGCAGGTTGCGGGATCGAATTTTGGCTGCAGCAGCTGCGTTTTCGATGGAAGCGAAAATGCTGTAGGCCCGTGTGCTCAGATTTGGGTGCACATTAAAGAATCCCTGGTGGTCCAAATTTCCGGAGCCTTACACTACGGTGTCTCTCATAATCATAGGGTGGTTTTGGGACGTTAAACCCCATATGTTATATCAAATCTCTCTCTCTCTCTCCATTTCTTTCGATTTTGTGTATCACTTTTATGTACCTGTTGCTTTCTATTTCTTTCTCTTGGTTTCTTTTAATTTCTCACTTTTTCTGTCTATTTTTCTTTTCCTGCTTCTTTCTGTGTCTTTCTTAGCTTCCCTTCATTTCTATTTTTTTTCTGTCTTACTGTTTTTTAAATCTTTTTTGTTTCTGTTTCTTTCTCTTTCTATCTATTTCTCTGTCCTTCTATCTTTCTATGTCTCTATTTTATTTTTTCCTCTTTATCTTTTTCTATCCTACCACTTTCTTTCTCTCTCTGTTTTCCTCTCTTTCACTCTCTCTCTCTCTTTGTATCACATGTTTTACTTTGCCGATCAGAGTTCTCGTTTAACACTTGCAGCTGCTGTTCTTGCGCTGCTTGCAAATTCCTGTGGCATATATCCAAACTCGACAGATCCAAAACGGTAGATTGGAGACAATTGCAAACCCCTACACTCTGCAACCCCATTCATTTTAAGAGAATATACCCAGATGTCTATCTAGATAATACTTGCGAATTGCGCGGCTGGACTCGCGCATCACTTAGGCGCATTCTCTCGGAATGTGCAGTTTCAGAAGAAAATGCAGTTTCACCAGATGGGGCCGCGGCGTGGTGCAAGGCTGCGCTGCGCAGCTCCAACCTTCAGGATCAACTGTGGGCCATCCAGCAAACCAACGAGGCGGTGAGGAGACACTCCGGTCCTCCTCAGGGGCGGCCTAGGCCCAGGCCACGAATTTGCCAGATTTATTGATAAAGTTGTTACCATCGCCATAGCATGTTATGGTTCTGTGCAAACACCACCGTTTTACGGTGGGCTTAAACAGCTCTAATCTCAAAAGAAAAAACAGTGTCAGAAGCTAGGCTTGAAGTGGTGAACTGCTTTTCATAACCATTTTGCTGTGAGTGCTCTTCGGAGGAGCAGAGAAAAATGTCACATTATTTTGAGGATGTGCAAGATAAAAACCGGTTTTGTGACTATATACCTATTCTATGTTTGTAAATGCGGTAGGCGCCGAGTGACATCATGGCGCATTGGCTCCTCCTAGTCTTCCCAGCTGAAAGCGCGCCACCAGCCACTATGAACACGTGACGAGGAGTGGAGCAGGTACGCAATCTGCCTTCAAGAACAACGCGTCGGGACGCCTCTTGCATGTTTACAAGCGGTGACCGCAACAGAGGAAGTTGCAGTCGCTGTAGAGGGGTTCTGAAATGAACATATGAGCTATGTTGACGTGTAGCTCTAGCTTTGAAAACATCATCAAACATATAATGTACCTTAACTGTGGAAATGTAGCTCATTTGCAAAATATCGTCGTTGCTATAGCCTACATCACACGTGCACACTTTAATTTGTACTAATTCAAGGACAGACCCAGTTTAGCAAGAGGCTCTAGAGTACAATATTGTCACGACGCAGACACAGCAGAAGTTCGATATAGAAGAGCTCACTTTAATTAAAAATGAAAGGCGCTCGTAAAGAGGACCGGGCAAGAGCTTCGTCTTCCTCTCTGGCTGTGCGAGCTCTCCTCTGCAGGTTGAATGCGGCATTTGCCTCCCTCCAGGAAGAGCATCGACCCGATGCTCAGCTACAGAATACGCGGTGTATGTAGTTGACGTATTACGCAACTGGCTCACTGCAATATGGCTTCATCCGCACAACGTGTACGATTTCAGATTTTTGAGCTCGCGAGGAACTGTCAGGGATGACCTCATAATTCACGTCACTTAGGCGCCGTATAACATTGTAGGGACCAAAGTACTTCTTCAGTAACTTTTCACAAAGGCCGCGTCGGCGAATAGGGCTCCAGACCCACACTTTCTCGCCTGGTTGATAAGTGACATATCGGTGTCGCAGGTTATAATGTTGTGCGTCGTAACTCTGCAGTCGGGCGATTCGCACGCGTGCTAGCTGCCGTGCCTCTTCAGCTCGTTGGGTAAAGGCTTGAACATCTGTGTCTGTATCCTCGCAGTCGTGCAGCAGCATGGCATCAAGCATTGTCGTCACTTCACGGCCATAAAGAAGACTAAATGGCGTGCTCTGTGTAGTTTCCTGCTGCGCCATATTATAGGCAAACGTCTTGTGTGGTAGAACGTCGTCCCAATTTTTATGATCCACGTCGATGTACATACTAAGCATATCAGCAATTGTCTTGTTGAGGCGTTCTGTTAAGCCGTTGGTTTGTGGGTGGTAGGAGGTAGTTTTTCGATGCGCTGTTCCACTCAACTCAAGCACTGACTTGAGGAGCATGGCCGTGAAAGTGGTACCTCTGTCTGTTATTATAATTCTAGGAGCACCATGCCTCAGAACGATATTTGCAATGAAAAATCGTGCCGCTTCTACTGCGGTTCCACTTGATAAAGCCTTTGTTTCTGCGTAGCGAGTAAGATAGTCCGTAGCGACAATTACCCACTTATTTCCAGTATGCGAAGTCGGAAATGGTCCAAGGAGATCCATTCCGATTTGTGCAAAAGGCATGGTGGGCACTTGAACTGGTTGCAACAATCCGGCTGGTTTTAAAGGTGGCGATTTTCGTCGTTGACAATCGAGGCACGTGCGGAAGTAATGCTTTACAGTGCCTGGAAGCTTCGGCCAGTAGTACTTTTGTTGCATTCTGGCCAATGTGCGCGTGTATCCGAGGTGGCCAGAGGTTGGCTCATCGTGGCAAGCGCTCAGGATCTCATCGCGAATGGATGTCAAGACAACAAGTAAGTGGGCATTTCTGCTGGGGGCAAAGTTCTTCTTGTGTAGGACACCACTGCGCAAGCAGAATGATGGCAGGCTCCTTGCAAATATCTTGGGAACGCTTGTAGACTGGCCGTTAAAAAAATTAATAAGAGGGAGCAACTCACTGTCTTCTTTCTGCTTAGACGAAATGGTGACCGTGTCGACCACTCCTAAAAATGCCATGTCATCATCTTCTGAGACATCATCTTGCTTTATAGGTGACCTGGATAAGCAATCAGCATCAGAGTGCTGTCGTCCCGACTTATAGGCGACCGTCATATCGAATTCTTGTAGGCGTAAGCTCCAGCGCGCTAGTCGACCGGATGGGTCCTTCAAGTTGGTCAGCCAGCAAAGAGAGTGGTGGTCGCTGACTACGTGGAAGGGACGGCCGTAGAGGTATGGGCGAAACTTCAGAACTGCCCATACTACAGCAAGACATTCCTTTTCCGTTGTGGAATAATGGGACTCGGCACGGGAAAGCGTCCTACTTGCATATGCAATCACTCTCTCGGCTGAGTCTTGCCACTGGACGAGTACAGCGCCTAAACCTACGTTGCTGGCATCAGTGTGGATCATGGTTGGAGCGTCCTCGTCAAAGTGAGCAAGCACAGAGGGTGTCTGCAGGCGCTGTCGTAGACCGTCAAATGCTGCTTGTTCCTCTTCGCCCCATAAAAATGGAACATAGTCTCTCGTTATGCGTGTTAAGGGCGACACTATGTGCGAGAAATTGGTGATAAATCTGCGGTAGTAGGCGCAAAGGCCAAGAAAACGTCTTACGGCCTTCTTTTCTGTTGGCACCGGAAATTTTCGGACGGCGTCGATCTTGTCGGGGTCCGGACGAACACCTTCATGGCTCACCACATGTCCTAAGAATCGGAGTTCCTTGAAACCGAAATGACATTTCTCAGGTTTCAGCGATAAGCCAGCGGACCGTATTGCTCGAAATACTAATAGCAGCCGTCTTAGATGTTCCTCGAATGTTGGTGAGAAAACAATGACGTCGTCGAGGTATACCAGACACGTCTGCCACTTAAGGCCTGATAGGACGGTATCCATCAGTCTCTGAAATGTTGCTGGGGCTGAGCACAATCCGAAGGGCAAGACTTTAAACTCGTAAAGCCCGTCAGGCGTAACAAAAGCAGTCTTTTTCTCTGTCCCGCTCATCGACCTCGATTTGCCAATAACCGCTTTTCAGGTCCATCTACGAGAAGAAGCGTGCATGCCTCAGCCTGTCAAGTGAATCGTCAATACGTGGTAGTGGGTATACGTCTTTGTTTGTCACCCGGTTCAGCTTGCGATAGTCCACACAGAAGCGTAAGCTGCCGTCTTTCTTCTTAACTAGCACTACCGGTGATGCCCAAGGGCTTTTTGACGGCTGAATGATGTCATCATTGAGCATTTTCTGGACTTGTTCTTGGATTGTTTCGCGTTCTTTCGGTGCCATGCGGTATGGGTTTTGTCAAATTGGTCTTGCCGTCTCTTCCGTTATAATTCGGTGCTTTGTCAGTGGCATTTGATTTACCCTCGAGGTCGACGAAAAACTATCTTCAAACTAGCCGAGAATATCTAGAAGACTCTGCCTCTGCGCTGGCGATAAATCTGCGCTCACGTCGACAGGCAGTGGTGTTGAAGCGGCCGGCGTCTCTGCCTGTTGTACTGCGAAGCACTCGCGGAATTCTACAATTTCTTCGAAGTATGCAACTGTGGTACCCTCTGCAATGTGTCGACGCTCGTTGCTGAAGTTTGTCACCAGGACCTCTGCTTGCCCAGACACTACACTGACGAGACTTCTGGCAATAGCGATTCCTCGAGAGAGTAAAAGCGTCGATATTTGTTCCGCGACATCTTCTCCACTATGCTGCGTGTTACACGTGACAGAGACGAGGTGGCATGACAACGGTGGCATGGTCACGTCGTCAATCACGCGCATGGGCTTGCACTGCAGCGCTGCGCTATGGTCTGCTGAGAAGGTCAGTACACCGTCCGGTATATTTATAATGGCACCGTACTCCCGCAGGAAATCCATACCCAAGATGGCCTGTTTACAACACTCAGAAAGAATAACGAAGGTTGCCACGAATGATGAATCCCCGATCTTGATTCGTGCGGTGCACTTTCCGGTAGGTGTCAGCAGCTGGCCTCCGGCTCCTCTAATTTGCGGCCCCGTCCATTCCATTTTTACCTTCTTGAGTTGGTCGGCCAGATTCGCACTCATTATTGAAAAGTTCGCACCAGTGTCGACCAGTGCGGTCACGTCGTGACCGTCAATTGAAAATGTAATGTCGGCGGTGACAATCTCGTCTTTCGTCGGTTCATTCGAAATGTGCGGCACTTCATGCGGCGGTAATGGGGGATTTTCAAATCTTCGGCAATTCGCAATCTTCTCCCCTAAGGTCGCTGCTTTTAGTTTCCCCGGCGTGGACTGGGAGACCTTCCTCTCGCCATGTCCGAGGTGCTATCTCTATTAGATCGGGGAAAATGACCTGGGGAGGGCGAGCGTGACCGGAACCCAGGAGAAACGTCTCGCGGGATCGTCGCGCTCGTTTCAACGTTGCGTCTTCCGTCGAAATAGCGCCGAGGGGTAGTGGACGGAAATCCTTGATACCCGGCAATGCGATGAGGACAATACCGCACGATGTGGCCTGCTTCCTTACAATGGAAGCACATGGGCCTGTAGTCAGGGGTACGCCATATGTCGGTTTTGCGGAGTGGGGGTCGCATCGGCGTCGACGTTTCCCTGTAGTACCAAGGCACTGTCGGCGGCTGTTGCTGGTGGTACTGTTGAGGTGGCGGCACGTTAGATCAAGGCTGTCGACGGAGAATATCTGCATATGTTGGCCTAACTATTTCAGTGTTCGGCTCGGGAAGTGAAAGCGCTTGCCTTATTTCTTGGCGAACAACTTCTGTGACCGACGCAATCGCGCAGTCATTTGGTGTGGCGGCGAGCTTCTTCACCTCTTCTTGCACAATTTCGCGTATCAGGTCACGCAAAGAACGCTCGTCAGGAGTCACAGTGGTCACGGTGGTTGCGCTGATTTGTCCGCTGTTGTTTGGACGGTCGTACTGGCGGTACCGTAGCTGTAGTGCGCGTTCTATGGCGGTCGCCTCCTTCGAAAATTCGTCGACGCTTGAAGGTGGGTACTGTACGAGACCAGCAAACAGCTGCTCTTCACCACGCATGAGGTGGCTGATCTTTCTGTTCTCGGACATATCGGGATCGGCTCGATGAAAGAGACGAGCCATGTCCTTAACAAATATAGCAACAGACTCGTTGGGCTTTTGAATCCGTGATTCAAGGAGTCGTTGTGCATGCTCCCGCCTTTCGGTGTTTGCGAAGGTGTCCAGGAACTTCCGCCGGAACTCGTCCCACGTTGACCACACGCGATTCGTGAACCACGTGCGATCCCCGTCTTGAAGAGGGAAATACACGTACCCCAACTTCTGTGCGGCGTTCCACCCGTTAACGTTGGCTGTGCGCTCGAACTCCTCAAGCCAGTCATCTGCGTCCTCATATGTGTTGCCATGGAAGTCCACAGGAGTTTTAGGGGTGAAAACAGTCACCTGTGTCGTGCTTGGGCTCGTCATGGTGGGGCAACTGCTTCCCGGCGCGGTCATGTTTTCCGTCCAAGGACCGAACTCTGGGCTCAGGCCTAACAGGCGGCGGCTGGCGCGGTGAACGGGTGTTTCGACGAGCGGAAGTCTTTGTGGACTAGATCTCGGGCTGTTGGAAGGTGTCCTGGACATGTACCCAGCTCCTCCACCAGTGTCACGACGCAGACACAGCAGGAGTTCGATATAGAAGAGCTCACTTTAATTAAAAATGAAAGGCGCTCGTAAAGAGGACCGGGCAAGAGCTTCGTCTTCCTCTCTGGCTGTGCGAGCTCTCCTCTGCAGGTTGAATGCGGCAATATGCAAATCAGCGGTGTAAAAATATGTGGCCATGAATCCTTGTGGTTAATCCTGTCATGTAATAAATGTGCCAGAAAATTTATTCATGCAAATGACCAGAACGACCTCGGCAACACTTTCATCCACGACACACTTGTGATAATGCTTGAACAACATGCCGTGGACAATGCAGTTACGTAATTGTAAGGTCCGCGGCTCAATTCGTATGCTCAAGCCGCCGCCGCGAAATGCTTACGACTGGGCAAATTTCTTGCGTGATGTTTTTCTGTGAATTCACACAGACGTGAAAATCTAGTGAAGTGCACCAGAGCCAGAACAGGGCACTTGTGTCAGGTTTGTCATTGCAGCCGCATATAATCATAAAAAAACATAGTCTAAGTCATCATTTCGTTTGTTGCTACTTCAATGAACCGTACCCAAGCAGAAAAAAACACATGCTTGATCGTTGGCTCGATGACCGAGTGACACCTTTAGTTCACGATAGTATGGCGATATCATTTTGACGTGTCGAAGACTTTTGCAGTTATATCAAAATTGGCAACCATGAAAAATACCATTGTCGCATGGCCGTACAGCCATACGACAATGCTATCCAGAACGTTAACGTGCTTTGAGGTAAACGTGCTCGATACGCCTCCACGGCTTAATAAAAATGCGTAATTCTATGGCTTATTCCAGCGCTTGAGAGAGCTAATCGCTTTTTATGGGTGAGCCGCTCCAAAACATAACCAGTGAAATGGCGTCGCAAACAAGTTCTCGCGTTTCACAGCTGTGGCTGATCGGCGACGGTTTTCGTCAACAGAAAACTAAGAAAAAAAATAAAAAGACCTTGCCCATTTTTCTTGTGCTTTTCCGTGTAAATCACCATGAAGGTTCGTCGGTACAACACTCTTTCTTTTTTGCACGGCCACAAACAGTGCACGCACCAGCGAAAACACAGCAGCAACTGCGGTAGGTGCCGCGGCTTTTGCCTACCAAGCGAAACCAAACGCCCGGCAACAGCGCCACCGCATTTTCGTGACGTGTTTCCAGTGCAATTTGTCTATAACTGTCAAAAAGCTTGCAATATTTACTACTGCTAATGTGGTTTAAGATTTTTTGAAACAGGGATTAGCCTGTTTCAAAATATGGGCTTGATTCAAGAAAGTGCATTTTCTTTTATCTTTACGTTGTATTAGCTTGATGCTTTTTCCGTGATGCAGCAATGTCAAAGTTAACCAGTTTGGCAGCTTAGTATCTTTTAGTTTATCTTTCTTTATAATTTATATCTTTCAGTAATTTATCACTGCTTTATGTGCTCCATTTGTCAAAATTTGTTTGATGACAGTAATAGTGCCATGTGTGTGCTGAGCTTATTCGAAGTGTTCAAGTACTAGTTCAGTGGTATTAAAGGCTGTTTTCTTTTTCTCAGGTTTTTCGATCTGAGATCACAGTGCGCCGTGGGCCTCCCGCCTCCTCACGCTCACCTCGAGTCGGTGTTCTCCAACGGAGCCCCCTGCGTGATATGGAGCTATATCAGCTGGTGGCACCCCTAAGCCAGCGGCCGCTGGCTGCTCGCATTGAGACGGGCCCTGTGGGTGCTTTTTGGGTGGCTCTTTGGAACCTGGCTGGCCTAACCTGTGACAAAGCATCTAATCTAGGAGTGCTCGAAGTAGTCTGCCGCACTGCCCTAGAGAATGGGTTAGTTGGCATTCCTCTGAAGCTATGGTTCCTGTGAATTTTGAACAAGTACTACCAGCTAGTGTGAAGAAATGACAGATTTGCAAGGGAGCCTTAAGGTCATATAGCATGCCTTTAGCATGATTAAGAAGCTTTTGTGGAAGGAAGTTATTGCAAGAGAATCGATAACTGTGATAGTTGGTTGAGGAAGTTATTGAGAAATTATAGAAGTTGTAAGAAATAAGACTGGGCGGCTTTCTAGAATGCCTCTTTGCATAATCAGGTGCACTACTGAGTGGCTTGTGCATAGTCTACGTCAGAATAGCCTTCCATTTCCTACAGTGGCGCTGTGGCTGTGTCTCACTGTGGCTGGGTGCAAGGCTCTGGGTATTGTTCCAGTCACAGCAGTTGCATTGTGAGGAAGGCAAGAACATACTTTTACCTAGATAGATGGAAAATTTCATGTTGTTAAAAGTAACTTGGAGGCCATTTCGATAATATCTCTTTGCCCAAAAGTAGTTCATGGAACGAGAGCTCAATTAATGTCATTTGCTAATGCAGTTTGTAGCAATAATACATGTAATGCATAAAAGCATAGGAATTGGAGGAAAGTGAGACAGAATATGATTTTTTGGCTCATGTTGTAAGTTTGCAGTTGTGCAAAGTTGTCTACAATTGGCTGTTGTCAGGTCGTTGTAACACTGCAATGACAGTTACTGTAGTGATTGTTAAGTGTTATGGAAAGTTTCAAAGTATGTGCCTGGCAATGTTGGGAGAAGGGGAGCAGTTTTCTTGCTGTTGCAGAGCGATGTGTTTATTTGTGGCTTCATGCTGTCGGCATTGCTTGTAGCAGCACCTACTTAATCATTAATGCCATCTTAAGGGATCTGTGCGGGCATTCCCTGCCACTAAGGGAATTGCACATTCCAATCTATGTCATTGTCATAGTGTGGGCATTACATTTGCTGCATCTTGTGCCTCTAGCTTGGATAACATAAGTTGTTAGAGTGTCTGATATGGTAACACAAGTTTCTGTTGTATTGGTCTTCATATACGACAAAGTTCACTCTACATCTAGCTCTTGCTTTATATCTCTGCGCGGTGGCACCGTGATATTATTTTTTACCATGATTAAAGAAAATTTTCTCAGATATTCATTCATGCCCTATTTGTTCACTGTTCACTTGATATTTGTTCAGTATATTATAGCAGCAGTCTGAAGGGACGATGAATGAAAATGCTCAGTTGAGTCAGGCTGGTAAACTTTAAAAAATGTTGGTGGAGTGACATCTGAAGTTTATGGAAGGTTGTGAATCATTGTAGCAGCTTTAGTGACCCTGCACTTTATAAAACTACATGCCAAGGTAAAGGAATTGCTAGTAATTAGTTTAAACAGTCACATGCCATTGAGTTGTCAGAATAGTTTTATTCTTTTATTTATGGAGCTCCTTTTTTTTTAATAGAGCCGCAATTCTAAAATGACAGTAAATGGTGTCATGCCCCTTAGAATTCTTATAGTGTAGTGACAAATACGGGCACTGCTGGAGCAATGGTGAAGATGACGTTTGTTGTTGCCGAGGCTCGTGTTGCTTCTGTCGAAATGACTGGCTGCTGTCTTATTGCTGTCCAGCACAATAAACGGTTGCCTTACGTGGGCGTCTCAAAGTATTTTTACATTTGGTAGAGAGTGCTGGTTTCTTCAACCTGGAACTCCATTTTCGGACTCTACCTCAACCTCCTGCCTCGCCAATGCCTGACAACATGACCCAGCCATCTGCAGTCCTAATCCCATCTGTTACTTGTACCGGAACACCACAACAGCGAGATCTGGTGATTTTCACCGCTACCGACGACCAAGATGCTGAAGACTTGCTGTCTCAGTATGAATTGTTAAGCGCTCACAATAAGTGGCATGACACAGACAAGCTCGGTTACCTTCATTTCTATCTCGTGGGTGTGGCACAGCTGTGGTTTAACAACCGTGAAGCTGAAGTTCCCCCTTGGTTAACCTTTAAGACACGCTTTGCGGAAGTCTTCAGCCGACCCACTGTTCGCAAGCTCCGCGCTGAACAGTGCTTGCACATCCATGCACAGCGCTTTGGGGAGACCTTCACCTCGTATATTGAGGATGTTGTGGACCTCTGCCGTCACATCGATCCCGACATGTCCGACACTGATAAAATACAGCACATCATGAAAGGTATCGACGATGCCTTTCACATGCTTGTTGTGAAAAACCCCCAAACTGTCGCCCAGCTGATTCAGCACTGTCAAAGTTACGACAAGCTGAGGAAAGAGCGCATTTCTACGTGACTTCCAAACCTTGACATGACCAGCACGTCTGCGTCAACTATTGGCGCTGTTTCCTACGAACAAAGCACTCTAATGCAGCAAATTCAGCAATTCGTCCGAGGAGAAGTGGCGCGCCAATTGTCTCTTGTGGCCTACGTTCCGACCAGTGCACACACGCTGACTCCAACGCACCACAAGGCAATCGAAGAGCAAGTTTCTGATGCCCTGCCTCCCACATACCATCCTTCGCCTATCTCAGCACCTCTGACTTACGCTGAGGCTGCAAGGACGATCGTCGCCGTCGCTACCACCTGTCACGGATCCTGCTCGACAGCCCCGTCTCTGATACGCAGCAAGTCCTCCTATCCGTTCGCACCCACCTTCTTTTCGCCACCCTGCACAGCTGTCAACTAAACCTCTAAACCTTGGCGCACCCGAGACAACAGGCCAATCTGCTACTACTGCCATCCTCCCGGCCATGTAGCACGCTTCTGCCATCGTTGTGATTACAACCCAAGCGCTGGTGAGTCGAGTTACGACTGCTATCGTCCCGAGCCACCACAGTTGTCTTCGTTTCCTTCCACGTCGGATCAGTCGCATTAAGTTTGCCTCTTGCCTCGGGAACTGACCATCGCAGTTCTCTAGGCAAGAGCTGCGCACATGTAGAAAACTTCAAGGCCTCCATTTTTATCCGCTAATGAAATAGTCGTGCATATTGATGGTGTACCTGCACAAGCGCTCGTTGATACTGGTGCTGCTGTGTCCGTGCTCAGTGGTGAACTGTGTGCAAGTTGAAAAAGCTTACGCTGTCGCTTTCCGACGTCTCTCTCCGCACGGCAACTGCGCATCATATCCAACCTTCTGTGGCGTGCACAGCTCAACTGCTCATCCGGAATATTCTCTATGTAGTTGAATTCGTTGTGTTTTCCCCATGCTTGCACGACATAATCTTGGGCGGGGACTTGCGCTTGTCATGCCGTCGTTCACTGTGCGCGTGCCGAACTAGAGTTGTCGACGATGTGTGAACTGCCCTTGTGTGAATCGCTGACATTTGATACACCCTTTTTCCAGCCGTTATCATCTCAAGTCATTGTCGCCGCGGACACTCACATCTCTCCTCTATCCTGTGTTCTTGTGCCACTCTTCTGTGACGATGCGCTGTCTGTCACTGCCCTCTTTATTTCCTCCGACGCCTTCGGCTCTCGCAAAAGCTTCCTTCTCCCGTTTACAGTTGTCACGATAGAAAACTCACGTGGCTCCATCTATATAACGACCTCGTTTCCTTGCCCAGCCATCTTATTCTGTGGTGAAGTCATCAGTCATCTTGAGGAAACTGATTCTGTTTCGATCTCTGTTTCGATTTACATCTCTTCTTCTTATCCCTGTCCATTTGTGCATTGTGATTGGTACATGCCATCATGTGACACCATCCAGCCTTATCCAGTATCATGTTGTCAATTTTGTAAAGTGTTTATGCTACTAAAATATATCTAAGGCATACTCCTGTGGACTGCGAAAAATGAATTATGTTGTCTATGAGGTATGTGGTTGATGCTAAAAAATAGTGTCATTAGTACAATTGTACTTTAGTGGAGTTAGAGTGTCAAGTTGAACAAGAGATGAATTTCAGCTATAAAAGCTAATGGAAAGTCAAATGTCTCATTACCCTCTTTTAAAGAAATAAATTTTAATGTAATATATAATTGTTGTTATGCTGAAGTATAATGGAGTTCGTAAAACTGGCAGTTTACTTCATCAAAACTTCATTACTCCTATATATATACACTCCCACGTTTAAATTCACATATGAACCCAATAAAGTGGCTGGGGGGATAGCCGCTGTGGTAGCTCAGTGGTAGAGCATCGAACGTGTTATTCGAAGGTCGTAGGTTCGATTCCTACTCACGGCAAGTTATTTTTTCACCCACTTTTTTTTCTTATTTACATTACATTGGTTCTAATAACTTCCCCTATACATTCCTTGGCATTATTGTCTGTTAGATCTCATTAATAATTTGTCAAAACAGGGAAAAACGAGCCCTTAGGTGTACACTTCTTTCTCTTATATATATATATTGTGATGCAACGGTAAAGGCAACCTTTACTAGGCCCAGAAGACACGATGAAGCTACCACACCCAAGGCACAGAACACAGGCAAACCAAGTCCCCACAGCAGATGAAAATGACGACCACTCATGATGATGAACATGTGTAAAGTTAGTAGATGTGCTCAATGAATGCCTACACTAAATTCCCCCCCCCCCCTCCCCACGTGAAAGCGGTCATCCTGACCGCAGTTCTTGCCCGCAGTTTAAAGTGAAGAGGAACGCCGTATGAAAGGCTTCATGCGGGACACATGGACTATTTCTGCTGCCCGGCAGCGGCAGTCCGTTGGAAGAAGAACGAGTGCCACGCGATAATTGACAGGAGACGTTTGTTCCAAGACAGTGTAGGGGCCAATAAAATGTAATTGAAACTTCTCGCACAGGCTGGGAGTGCAAATGGGTGTAAGAAGGAGGACTTTGTCGCCAGGGCTGAAGGACACGGCTCGATGAGAGGCATCATATTCAAGCTTGCGATCCTGTTGCTTGGCTTCAGTGTTGACGTGAGCCAGCTGGCGGCAATGAAGTTGACGAGACACGTATTCTTCACTTGAAGATGAACATGGTTTGACAGGCGCAGAGAAAAACGAAACATTGAGGAAAGAAGAGAAGAAGCGACCGTGGAC